TGCCTCATTTCTTACCTGACCTTAATCACTGAATGGGCATTGCCTCAATCAAACTGAGACCAGTTAAAGAATTTAGCTTAAAAAGGCTGAGGTATTCTACTGCATCCAGGGCCATTTCCAGTCTTCCTGATCTGTATCTTGCAGCTGGACCCAGATGGCTCCTGAGGAGAAAGTGAGGCTGGTGACTTTGCATAGCCCTCCCTCACTTATAAAATCCAATTCACTTGCATGTGATGGTGTCACCTCCCTGATGTTGGTGGTCCTCTTTGAGAAGGAATGACAAACAGCAGCCCTCTCTTTTATCACCTCCCTCTTTTCTTTATCCCTTTTCCCTCCTACTTCCTTGTTGGATAAGATAGATGCCTGTTACCATTTGTGTGTGTGTGTGTGTGTGTGTTTCACCTTCTTGAAACAATTTAGAAGTAAGATTCAAGCATTGTCTGCCCACCCCCAACTATTTTCCCCTTCATTGTAAAGACTCTTCCTTGTATGCCTCTCTGATGTGAGATAATTTTCCCTATTCTTATTCTCCTTTCCCGCTTCTCCCAGTGCATCCCTCTTTCTTGCCTATCCATTTTTTTTACATCATCCCAATGTAGAATCCTTCTAACTGCCCTAACAATGATATAAAGTTCTTAAAAGATATATGTGTCATCTTCCCATATGGAAATATACACAGTTTAACCCTATTGAGTCCTTTATGATTTCTCCTTTATGTTTACCTTTTTATACTTTCTCCCGAGTCTTGTAATTTGAAAGTCAAATTTTTTATTCAACTCTAGTCAGTTCATCATGAATGTTGGCAAGTCCTCTATATCATTAATTATCTATTTTTTCCCTAGAGGGATTATACTCAGTATTGCTGGGTCGGTTATTCTTGGTTGTAATTCCAGGTCTTTTGCTTTCCAGAATATCATATTCTAAGCCCTTTGTTCCTTTAATGTAGTTCTTTCTGGCTGCTTGCAGTATTTTCTCTTTGACCTGGGAGCTCTGTAATTCAGCTGTAATATTCGTAGGAGTTTTCATTTTAGGATGTCTTTCAGGTGGATTCTTTTTTGGTTTGTCAGTGCTCTTTTTGTACTTTTTTTTTTTTAACATTCATTAAAAAAAATTGAGTTCCAAATTCTCTCCCTCTCTCTTCTCTCCTCCTTGAGAAGGCAAGCACCTTGATGTACATATATGTACAGTCATGCAAAACATATTTCCAAATTAGCCATGCTGCAAAAAAAAACAACAAAAAAAAAACCAGACCAGAAAAAAAAAACAAACAAGAAAAATTAAGAAAGTTTTTTAAAAAGTAGCTTTGATTTGCATTCAGACTCCATTAGTTCTTTCTCTGGAGAAGGAAAACATTTTTCATCTTAGTCCTTCAGATTTGTCTTAGATCATTGTATTGATGAGAATAGCTAAGTCATTCACAGCTGATCATCATACAGTATTACTAATACTGTGTACAGTGTTCTCCTGATTCTGCTCACTTCACTTTGCATAAGTTCATATGATTGTTCCAAGGTTTTTCTAAAAGCATTCTGCTGGTCATTTCTTATAGTATAATTGTATTCATCACATCCATATACCACAACTTGTTCAGCCATTCCCCAATCAATGAGCATCTCCTTGATATTCAATTCTTTGCCACCACAAAAAGAGCTATTTTAATATTTTTGTACATATAGTTCCTTTTCCTTTTTCTTTGATCACTTTGGGATACAAACCTAGTAGTATTACAGACCTACTAGTGTTACTGACCTAAAGTCTTATTTTCTTCAGTATTTTTTGTGCCTCTTTTTAGCAAGTTATTGTCTTTTCATAATTTTCTTCCTTTGCTTTAATTTCTTTATCTAATTTTCTTTTACCTTATGCGATTTTGAAAATAATTTTTTAACTCTTCCAAAAATTCTTGTTGAGCTCTTGTTCAATTCACATTTTTGCTTCCCTGCCCCCTTTTTAGGCTTTGCTTGTAGCTATGTTGACTTTATTACCTTCTTCTGAGTTTGAGATTTGATCTTTCCTGTGACCATAGTAGCTTTTTATAGTCAAGTTCTTTTTTTGTAGTTTACTCATTTTTCTACCCTATTTCTTGATTTGGAACTTAAAGTTAAATGTTGGGCTCTGTTTTCTGCAAGAGGAGGAAGAGTTCTGTCTCAAGCTTCAGTGCTTCCAAGGTGGTGTGATCTGGGGAGAGATATGGTCTTTGCTCTTTTGGTCTGCACTCTGGTTCTTAACCAGGAAGGGCCCCTGCTTCCTTGGGATTATAATCAGTACTGTTTCTCATTTTACTTTACTTCTGGGAAACTTCTCCTTTTTAGGTATCATTGGGGTGTGTGTGTGTGTGTGTGTGTGTGTGTGTGTGTGTGTGAGAGAGAGAGAGAGAGAGAGAGAGAGAATGAGAATATAGGCTTGTGTGTGTGTTTCACTTCTTTGTAGGAGGATACAGCATCATTTGTAGGTAATATGATATAGTAGAAAGAGTTCTGAATTTGTATTTTAAAAATCAGGTTTGAATCTTGGTTTTGACACATGCTAGCTACGTGACTTTGGACAAGTCATTTTATCTCTCTGAGTCTCAGTTTCTTCTTTAAAATAAGAATAAGATATTTCATATTTAGAATTATTAGTATCCTTGTACTCCCTATCTTGCAAGGTTGTTGTGAAGAAAGCATTGTACAAATTGTAAAGTACTGTATAAATGTGATCTGATATCATTTTTCTAATGCCCCCAAGCTTATAGTTAGGGCTGTCTTCTGCCACCACTGCAGGGGTTGAGGATGTTCTTAGCTAAGGGCTTGTGAACACTTCTTTCTCATTATTGTGCTATGTCTCTCAGTGTGGATTGCTGTTGGGCTGCTTGAATTCAATTTTTGCCTTAGTCTAGGGCTCTTGCGCAATACTCATGGTTTTCCACTTTCTCCTTTTTCATTTTTTGTTCTATCTATGGTTTCCCATTCTTCCTTGGACGATGGCCAGTGGGAACCATTGGATTCTCTCTACCTCCTTTTTTTTTTTTCTTCTTCAGCCAAAGGTTTATTAGAACATCCATCATATTGGGCAGGCTCTTAAGGAATCTGAACATTACTGAGCTATTGGCTAGATTATAAGAATCTGAGCAACTTAATGGAGACAAGACAGACCTTACATAAAGACTGTGAGAGGGATCTAGGAGTGGCCAAGTAGTTTGGAGTGACTAGAGGAGGGGTCTAAAGAAGATCTGGATGGGAGTGGCCAGTAAGCTGGGGTGAAGAGAACTTTAGGACCTGGGACCTGGGCCTTGTGGCCAAGGGAGAATGGAGTCTAGATAGGATTAAGGGTGAGAAATGGCCAGGGGCAATTGGGAGGTAACAATAGAATTGGGAGATTGGGTGTAACCATAATGAAAGGCCAGTTGATAGGATTATAGCCTCAGGTGAACCAGAGATTTTCTCCCTACCTCCTTTATACAAATCTCAGGTAATTCTGTTCCTATACACATTAACATTCATATTGTTCTATAGTATAATTAACTAGTATATGATGGAGAAGACTTGGCATTAATTGATTCACACCCATGGCCCTTGACTATGTAAACTCCTTCTAACTGCCCTAATAGTGATAAATTGTTTTAGAGTTACAAGTATTATCTTTCTGTGTAGGGATATAAATGGTTTAACATTATTGATTCCCTTATGTTTTCTCTTTCCTGTTTACCTTTTTATGCTTCTCTTGAGACTTGTATTTAAAAATCATTTCTTTGGGTTCAGTTCTGGTCTGTTAATCAAGAATGCTTGAAAATACTCTATTTCATTGAATATCCATTTTTCCCCCTGAAGGATCTTGCTCAGTTTTGCTGGGTAGATGATTCTTGGTTGTAATCCTAGCTCCAATGCCTTCAAGAATATCATATTCCAAGTCCTCTGATCCTTTAATGTAGAAGCCACTAAATCCTATGTAATCCTGACTGTGGATCCATGATATGTGAATTGTTTCTTTCTGGCTGCTTGTAGTATTTTCTCCTTGACCAGGGATTTGGAATCTGGAATTTGGAATTTGGCTCCTAGGAGTTTTTATTATGGGATCTCTTTAAGGAGGTGATCAGTGGATTCTTTCAATGTGTATTTTACACTCTGGTTCTAGGATATCAGGGCAGTTTTTCATGGTAATTTTTTGAAGTATGATATCCAGATCTTTTTTTGGATCATGGCTTTCAAGTAGTCAAACAATTCTTAAATTATCTTTCCTTGATCTGTTTTCCAGGTCAATTTTTTTTTTTTGCTTTTTTGGTGAGGCAATCAGGGTTAAGTGACTTGCCTGGGGTCACACAGCTAGTAAGTGTCAAGTATCTGAGGCTGGATTTGAACTCAAGTCCTCCTGACTCCAAAGCAAGAGCTTTATCCACTGCATCACCTAGCTGCCCCTTTAAAATTTTATTTCATTTTTTTTATTTTTTCATTTTATTTAATTTTTTCATTCTTTTGATTTTGCTTTATTGTTTCTTGCTCCTTGGAATCATTGGCTTCCACTTGCCTAATTTTCATTTTTATGGAATTCTTTTCTTCAGTGAGATGTTGTATCTCTTTTTCCATTCGGCTTATTATTGCTTTTCAAGGAATTCTTTTCTTTAGTGAATTTTTGTGTTTCTTAATGTTAGACTTCCTTAATAAAAAAATAGTGTCTGGATCATATTAAGTGATCATTCCATTATATTCTTTATTAGTCAGAGCATATCTGAAGTCGTATGTTCAGTCCTGGGTGCCGCAGTTAAGGGAAAGGACTTGGTTTGGATAGAATTAGATAAGAGTTCATCTAGGAGAGGGCAATCATGCTGGTTGAATTGTAGTGAAGGAGCTAGGAATGCTTAGATGGAAAGGAAAAGACTTATTTTTAGATATATGAAGGGCTGTCATGTGGAAGAGGGGCTAATTGGTCTTGTAGGTAAAATTACATGGAGGTAGATATTGGCTCCACAAGAATTGTCCGCAAGTGGAGTGAGCTCCCATTAGTGCAAGAGTATAATCAGACCTTGAATGACTGGAGATGTGGGACAAGGGGGTCTTGGAAAGAATTGGAAGGGAAGACTAGATGATATGAGATCAGGATCATGTCCTGAGGGAGGGCGGCAGCTCCGCAGGGTCAATAGGAAGAGGCAAGATGATGGGCAAATGCATAGCATGGGAATAGCAGCTGAGACAGCCCTCTGGCAAAGTGTGTAAAGCCAAAGAGCTCCCTCCTGCGTTCCAGGATGGGCTCATGAAAGTTATGGGCACCATCATTTCTGAAGTTGAGAGGGAGGTGCATAAACACCTTCACTCCTTCTCCCTTTTAGATTTATAACAAGGTGTACACTCGGTGGCACAGTGGATAGAATGCTGCATCGTGAGTCATAAACACCTGAGTCGAATAGGCCTCAGACACTTCCTAGCTCTGTTACCCTAGGCAGGTCACCTAAGCTCTCCACCTCAGTTTCTTAGCTATAAAATTGATAATAATACTTACTTTACAAGGTTAATGTGAGGATAAATGAGGATTAAAGCACTCTCTACATGTTAGCTGTTACCATTGCTCCTTCCTTCTTTCCATCTGTAGCATTTTCTGCCTGTTCTTGCATAGTATTTCATATTCGGGCATATTTTACATCCCTGTTAGACTACAACCTGTGAGGGCAAGGAACGTATCTCAATTATCTTTATCTACCCCCAGTTTCTGGCACAGTGCTTTCCACATAGCTGGCTCACAAAAAAAATGGTTATTGATAAATAAATGAATGATTATCTCACCTGGCTGCTAAAGGGGACTAACTGGGCCTTTGGAAGGCAAGTGTTGCTTATGGATGATGAAGGAAGGCAGAAAAGTGGAAGCTGGGAGAAGGAATACTGGGTGAAAGGGGCGATCCAGTAGAGCCTAGGGGCCGGTGAGAAGAAGGGCAGGTGCTCTGAGATGGGAACCATTGCTGGGCTCTGGGGAGGGGGTGAGGTGCGGCAGGACTAAAGCACCTTGGGCTAATCCTCCTAGGGCTGGCCAACATCATGAGCAATATTTGGGGGCCAAAAGATTCTTTACAAAAGCAAAACTGTCATTTTCACTGAGAAGTCCAATACTCAAAAGTAATCCCTAAGGTCCTTCTGAAGAGCACTAAGTGCTTTGACTGGTCATTATCTCAGGAGCCCTCTGCCTGGGAGCTGGCTGCTACTATCTTCTGCACCACTTAGCAAACCAATGCTTCAGCTAAGAATGCAGCCTTGATTTGCTTATGGCTCCCCCTACCTCCCCTTCAGACCACAATGTTATTGGTCCCCAAAAGCTTCTCCACAAATGTGGCTTTTTTTAAAAGGGGGGGGGATTTGGGGACCATTTCAAGTAAATGGCATGCTTCTTAAAATGCACTTTCTTTTTAAGTATTTTAATTAATTAATTTTTGGTTTTCAACATTTACTTTTATAAGATTTTGAGTTCTAAATTTCTCTCCTCCATTGCACCCTTCCCAAGATGGCATGCAATCTGATATAGGCTATACATGTACAATCATATTAAACATATTTCCACATTAGTCATGTTTTAAAGAAGAATCAGAACTTAAGGGAAAATCCATGAGAAAGAAAAAAAAAGAGCAAGAAAATAGTATGCTTTTATCTCCATTCAGACTCCAAAGTTCTTTTTCTGGATGTGGACAGAATTTTTCCATCTTTAGTCTTTTGGAATTGTCTTAGATCATTGCATTCCTGAGAAGAGCTAAGTCTATCAAAGTTGGTCATTGAATAATGTTACTGTTACTGTATACAATGTTCTCCTGGTTCTGCTCACTTCACTAAGCATCAGATCATGTAAATCTTTCCAAGTTTTTCTGAAATCCGCCTGCTCATCATTTCTGATGGAACAATAGTATTCTATTACATTCATATACAACAACTTGTTCAGCCATTCTCCAATTGATGGGCATTCCCTTAATTTCCAATTCTTTGCTACCACAAAAAGAGCTGCTATAAATATTTTTGTACATGTGGGTCCTTTCCCCTTTTTTATGATCTCTTTGAGATACATACCTGAAAGTGGTATTGCTGGATTGAAGGGAATGCACAGTTGTATAGCTCTTTGAGCATAGTTCGAAATTGTTCTGCAGAATGATTGGATCAGTTCACAACTCTACCAACAGTGTATTAGTGTTCCAATTTTCCCTCATCTTCTAAAACATTTATCATTTTCCTGTTTTGTCATGTTAGGCAATCTGATAGGTGTGATATGGTACCTCAGAGTTGTTTAATTTGCATTTCTTTAATGAAAACTGATTTAGAGCATAAAATGCACTTTCTAATATATCACCAAAGCTGACAATTCCAGCCTACCTTCTCCTGGCAAGAAAGAGATAGGAGATTCTTGCACAAAATGCTTGCTACTCTGTGTGTGTGTACATGCACATAGGTATGCTATACATACATGCATACAATAAATAAGGTAATATTTGCATAGTGCTCTGCATAGAGTCTGGCAAGTAGTAGATGTTTAATATATGCTTTCCCCCTTTTTTTCAGAGACACAAACCACAGCATTAATAAATACTATCTTTCGAGGGTTCGTACAATTTCTTCTCCTCCTGGGATTTCTCTACTTCTTTGTCTGCTCCTTGGACATTCTTGGCAGTGCTTTCCAGCTGGTTGGAGGTATGAAAAGCAACATCCGAAAGGGTCAAAAGTTTCTGGATGGCTTTTTTTTTTTGCTTTCTAATTGATTTTGGTTCAGCCTATAGCAATCAACAAGCAATCTCAACCCAAGTAATCTCCCTTCTTTTAAACTATTCTCTGACTGAAGGGGTCTCACCTTTTCATCCACTCCAGAGACGTGTATGCTTCTTGATTCATATTTTCCTTCCTTCCCTCCTATCCCTACCCCAGCACCCAGCCCACCTTACTTAGACTCCAGTCTCTGAAAGTGAGACAGTTTAGGAATTAGGTTTCAAAAATTTTTGTGAGAAATCTTTGTAATAGAGAATTTAGGCCATCAAATTAAGGTTTTGGGGTGAGGGTCTGAATTTTAATCATCTGAGATGTCTAAAACATAACCTCTAGTTTCAGGAACTAGAATCTATGTAAGATCTATGAAAGTGAACTGGTCAGATTTACACTGGTAAAGAGAAGAATTTTGTAAATTACAAAGTAAAGAGTGATTTTGTCCAAGCCTTTCTCATCCTACTCTTCTCTATTCTCTCCACAAATTCTTCCATTTCTATCTCAAAACAATCTGTAATTGAAGGCAGAGACCCTGGTGTTTGTGTGTGTGTGTGTGTGTGTGTGTGTGTATGTGTGTGTGTGTATGTGTGTGTGTGTGTGTAGATGGGTAGATGATCATTTGTTTTTGACTCCAACCATTTAGACAATTGATTTCGTGCTCTACTCCATTTCCTTTGTGTAAAGCCTGGTCTTCATGCTTCCATTCTGCATACTAATAATGGTAGCCATTATTATTACTAAGCTCTGGGGCAGGGATGGGAGCATGCAAAGGAAATGGAAGACCTGTCTCTAACCTTAGGAAACTTATAATTTTGTTGGGATGACACAGCATGCACATGAAAAGAATTTCAGGTCTTATAAGCACCCTACAGATGAATATACCTTAAATAAGCCAAATGGGGAAAGGGAATAAGCATTTATATGTATATATATATATATATATATATAATTTACCATATGCCAAGCACTGTACTCAGCACTCAGCAAATACTGTCTTCAAATATCATCTTAACAACAGCTTTGCGAGGTAGGTTCATTTTACAATCAAGGAAACTGAGGCTGAGAATGATTAAGTGGCTTGGCCAGGGTCACACAGCTAGTAAGTGTCTGAGGCTGTATTTGAACTCAAGTCTTCTTGATTCAAGGTCCAGGCATCAGCCAGCTGCCTCAGAGCCCCTCAGTGCAATAGAGATACTTGGTAAAGGACACAGTTGGGTAGAAAAGTTTTGAAGGGGACAGCTAGGTGGTGCAGTGGATAGAGCACCAGCCCTGGATTCAGGAGGACCTGAGTTCAAATCTGGCCTCAGACACATAACACTTACTAGCTGTGTGACCCTGGGCAAGTCACTTAACCCCATTGCTTAACCAAAAAAAAAAAGTTTTGAAGGAAGAGAATGCCCCTCCCCTTCAATGGAAGGAATACTTGGGGAGGGGGTGGAGGAGAGAGAGGCATCCTTCTAGGCCAGAGTAATTCTTTGAAGGCACAGGAACATGTCAATATGTGTGAGGAATAGCAAGTGTATTTGTTCTGATACAGCAGAGGCATTAAACTGGAGTGAGAGAATGTGGTGAGGATCAGGGCAAAAGATGATAATAACTGGCATTTCTATGGCCCTTTAAAATTTGTGCAGAAACGTGAAGTGCCTTGCCTAGGCTCACACAGTGAGACAGAGGCAGGAACTGACTTATGGCTTCCTAAAATGAAATTCAGTCCTCTGCCCTTTGCCACATTGCCGGCCTTGGCAGCCAGAGACTTCTCCTCACTCCTCCCTCCCACACAGTGGCCCCTAGCCTTTGGCCTGTGGCCCAGCAGTCCCAACCAACTACCATATAGATCTGTTATTATTATTATCATTTTTCATTTCCTTACCTTCCTAGGGAAAGCGGCTGGCAAGCTTTTCTATGAAGGTTCCATAATTTACAATCCTGTGACCGGCTTGGTGATTGGTGTGCTGGTGACGGTCATTGTGCAAAGTTCCAGCACATCTACATCTATTGTCGTCAGTATGGTGTCCTCTTCATGTGAGTCAGCCCCACCCTGCCTCCCCCCACTCCTCCTGAACTCTGTTGGTTAGGGAAACCTGGACCTATTCAAAGAACTTCATTCCAAATTATAGAATCATGTAATTATTCACGATGTGCCCTGGCCTTTAATCTTTATCTTCCTGCTGAGTCTTCCATCAGGCTGAATCTCTGTCTCTGATGTCCATCTGTGTGTCCTGTGTCCTGTACTAGTTATTGTAGAGTTAGAAAATTAGGCTCTAGCTGGGAGAATTGGGTTGTATATTCTTGGAGGAAATCTTAAATGTGCATTGCTGGAAATGAAGAGCACTAATCATAGAACGATCTGCTTTGGGAGAAGGGAGCTCAGTGTGGAGAACTCCTTTCTCTTCTATTTTTTCCTTTCTAATATTTAACCCAGCCGAGTCTGAGTCAGTGTCTTGGATGTAGTTACAGTTTGAGTGGATTTCTTTTTCTACCAGAGATAATTCAGACCAGATCCTTTTGAATCACTTCTTTGTTTTTCAAATGGGCTTGAAGTAGACTAGATCTCTCCAGATCCCAGGACTGGGTCTTCCCCCCAACCCTCCTTATAGGGTGGATGTGTCAATTTTCCCTCTAGTACAAGGGACAGATGTGAGGTCAGAAGTTAAGCTTCCCTGAATTATGGCTATGCAGGAGAGAAGAGGATGGAAAACTCCCCTGGAAGACAGAGGATTCTAAGTTGCTGAACTGGGAAGAGGCAATCTTGGGACAGAGCTGTTGCTACAGCCACCATTGGAACAGTGACCACACCCCCCAACATTGCTGCCAGTGGTCTAGTTTTCTTGTTATGGGAAAAGCCCCGGTTTCCCTGCCCTAGTTAAAGGTCTAGGCACTTGGTCTCAGCTTACTGAGTTGTTCTTCACTACACAGGAGCTTTTCAGGCAAAGACTGGATGAATGACTGGTTGGGGACCTTGTAGAAAGGATTTCTCTTCTTGGTCATGGTTGAACTCCATAGCTTTCCCAACTTTTTTTTAAAAAGATGATTCCTTAACTTTAAGTGCTTTTCCTGTGAATTTCCACATTTTTTCTTCCTCATTTATCTTTTTCCTTTGACAGTGTTGACAGTAAAGGCAGCAATTCCCATTGTCATGGGAGCCAATATTGGGACTTCAGTCACCAATACCATTGTGGCCCTCATGCAGGCTGGAGACAGGGATGAATTTCGAAGGTAGGCAGTTTTGTCTCACTTGTTTGCTAGTCATGTTCTCTCCTTCACTGCAGTAACTATCTTTGAAAAGTAGAATAGAGAATCTGTATTTCCCTCCACAGATACCTCCTGGGCTCTTCCAATAGACTTCGTTACAGTGCAGATTGTGGGATAAGCACATACACTGAGCAGTTTAAATAACTCAGCTTAATCACAAATAATTATAAGTTGATAATGATTTCATTTTTGGTACAAGGCATTCCCTTTTACATTTTGTTCTTCTAGACTCATAAAAAGCAAAATATATTCTAGGAATATAGTCTGGGAATGGGTAACAGGTCATTGGTGGGTGGTGGTGCTGAATAACAGACAAAGGAAATCTTTGTCTCCCTAGTGGAGGGAATATCACCAGCATTTTATTTTTTGAACTTGCTTTCAGGTTTTCCTGATTCCTATAATGGAATCAGAGCAAGTTAGACTATGAAAACTTGTAAGAAGTAGTGGTCACATCATTTTTGCCTTTCTTGTTGAGTATAATCAGGATCCAGAACCAGAGCCAGATAGGGAAACTCAGATGGGAATTTGTGTTGAGAAATGACACTGTTCCTTGGCAGTAAATGTTATACCTTATCTTTTAGTCAACAGAAGCATGTTAATAGAAGAGCCTAACTGGGTATATACATACCCTGTGCCATTGGGCCTCCATCATATTTAACATCCATTGTCTCTTGTTGATACAGTTCTACTTCTACCTGTGAATTGCAAATACTACAAGACCTAGTGGTGTTCCTGCAGGGTAAATGTCCAGCAGATATTTGGTATTTGAACATAGTAATTGCTGCTCTTTCTATCCAATAGATCTACATTGGGTACAGGGGAGATATTTTTCATTGGAATCAAAGTCATTTCCATGACATTTCATTTTTTAGTAGGTCACTTCCATACAGCTCTCATGTTTCACAGTAATAACAATGGAATGTAGGGTAGAGTCAAGATGATGGAATGAAAGAGTAACAACTGCCAAATTTCCCCTCAAACCATTTTCTACAAAACAACCATAGAAAACACAAAATCAAATTCTGAGTAGAAAAGCCAACAAAATCATAGTGAGTCATTTTTCTAGCCTAGGAAAGCTTAAAAAAGGAGAATCAAAGGTCTATGACACTGTGTTGGGAGAATCAAGCAACACTGACCATGGGCCTTAGAGGTGGTGGTAACACTGGGAACTATCATAACCCAGGCATGGTAAAGGGAATGAGCACCTGACCAGAAAGAGAATCCAGAGCACCCCTGTACTAGCACTAGGTGCAGGATCCAGCTCACTCTGGCAGCTTTGTCTCCCATTACCCAGTTTCAGGTTGCAATTCAAGGACAGAGAGAAATGGCCACTGTCACCATACCTGGGTAAGGATCAGAATGCAGACCAGGAAAGAAGTAACTAGACCTCTCCCCATCATACCACCTTGAAAGCACTGAAAAACCTACAAACCCCAGATAGAGCTTCAGAAGCTTATGCCATCCCTTCTTCCACAGAGGTCAGCAGAGTCCAACTCTTATATAATATCCAAGGTCAAGAAGTAGGCTGGAAAAATAAGAAAACAACAACAAAAAGAACATGACCATGAAAAACTTCTTTTGTGGCAGGGAAACTCAAGAAAAAAACTCAAAAGAAGGCACTGACTTGAAAATATCTATAAGCAATGCCTTAAAGAAAAATGCACATTAAACACAAGCCCAACAAGAATTTCTAGAAGCATTAAAGCAATTTTTAAAAGAGCAAAAAATGATTTCAAAAATCAAATAAGAGTGGCAGAGTAAAAATTGGGAAATGAAATGAAGAACAATACAAGAAAATTATCAAAAGAGAATGAATAGCTTGGTAAAAGAGATACAAAACCTTACTGAAAAAAATTACTTTTTAAAAACTAGAATTGGTGAAATGGAAGCTAATGACTATCAGACATCAAGAAACAGTAAAACAAAGTCAAAAGAATGAATAAATAGGATCTCATAGGAAAAACAGTTGAACTACAAAATAGGCTGAGGAAAGATTATTTAAACATTATAGAACTACCTGAAAGCCATGATAAAAAAAAGTGTCTGGACATCATATTTCAAGAAGTTATAAAGGAAAACTGCCTAGATAGAATCAGAGGGTAAAATTGAAATGGAAAGAATCCATCAATCACTTCCTAAAAGAGATTCCCCAATAAAAACTCCAAGAAATATTGTACCCAAATTCCAGTGCTCCCAGATTGATGAAATGTACAAGTAGCCAAAAAGAAAAAATTCCAATATCATGGAGCCACAATCAGGATCACACAAGACTTAGCAGCTTCCACATAAAAGGAGTAGAAGCCTGGGAATATGATATTCCAGAAGGCAAAGCAACTAGGATCACAACCAAGAATATCCTACCCATCAAAATTGAGTATAATCCTATAAGGGAAAAAAGAGATGATTTAATGAAATAGAAAACTTCCAGTATTCTTATGAAAAGACCAGAGCTGAATAGAAAATTTGACATCCAAACATAAGACACAAGAGGAGCATAAAAAGGTAACCATATGTGAAAAATCATGAGGAACTTAATAAGGTTAAACTGTTTATATTCACAAAAGGGAAGATGATACCTGGGACACCTAAGAGCTTTATTATCATTAAGGCAGTTAAAAGGCATCTATATAGACAGAGGGCATGTATATGAATCTATTATATTGGGATAATCTCAAAAGAAAAACAGAAGGGTGAAAATGAAGGATGCATGAAGAAGAGGGAAGAGAGAAGAAGAACGGGGAAAATTATCTCACATAACAAAGAGACACAAGGAAGAGTTTTTACAATGGAGGGAAAAATGGGGGAGAGGAAGGAATGGGCAAGAATTGAATCTCACTCTTTTCTGAACTGGTTAAAAGATGAAAGTGTGTGTGTGTGTGTGTGTGTGTGCGAATTCTTTCATATATATGTATATATATGTACATATATGTATATATATATTAAATATATATCATATATACACATATTTTCTCTTTTATACACATATATACCTATGCAGTTGGGTATAGAAATTCATCTCAATAGGGAAGTAGGAAAAGGGACTAAGAGAAAAGGGGTGTAGTAATAAGAGGGGAAGGTAGATTAAGGGAGGCAGTGATCAGAAGCAATAATAACTTTTGACAAGGAGACAGTAAAAAAAAGAAAAGGATAAATAGAAAAGATAGGATGAAGGGAAATACACAGGTAGAAATCATAAGTAGGAATGTGAATAGGATGAATTCACCCATAAAACAGAAAAGGGTAACAGAATGGATTAGAAACCAGAATCCAGGAGAGGATTCTGGGAAGATGGTGGAAAATTCCAAGCTCTCCAGATTTCCCCACAAACAAGACAAAATAGCACCTCAGGGTAAATGTGGAGAATGGGGGGGATAAGCAAGAGTTGAGGCAGTGGTCCTCCTGCTCCTAGGACAACCTGAAAAGATGTGAAGAAAAATCTCAGGAATGAGGTTTGTTCCCAGTGAAGAGTAAACAGCTCCAAGCTAGTTCTGCTGAAACAGCAAGTGGTGAGCCCTAGGGCATCTTGCAGACAGTGTGTGGAGTTGAGCATCTGAGAGGGAGGAAATGGAGGGAACCTCTGCTAATAAGGGATGACAGACCCAGCTGTGCTGCTAAGACATAGCCCTGGATAAGAAGGAACCAACACATGCCTAGTGAGTGCAGAAAGCAATGGGGCAATGATGCCACTGGCTGTGGGCACTTACAGGAGGGCAGAGTTCTTGATTTTGGTTCCAGACCAGAGGGAAGAACTGAAGGAGGATCTGAGGATCTGAGGTCAGAAGCACTATCCCCCACACCCCAGAGCTTGAAGTAACTACAATAATAAGCTACTACAAATAAAAAAGAAATGAGCAGGCAAAGGAGAAAGAACCCAACTCTAAAAAGTTACCATGGAAATAGACAAGACCAGGGTTTGTCTTCAGAGGAAGATATTGAAGCAAAAAAAAAGCTTCTCCTACATGAAAGAGTAATGTCAAATGGTTACCTGCCCAAAAATAATTCATAGAAGAACCAAAAAAAAAAACTTTAAAAATCAAATGAGGGGAGATCAAGGAAAAATTAAAAAAAAAAGAACAATTCAAGAAAAACCAGAAGATTATGAAAAGAAAGTCAACCAAGTGGAAAAGGAGGTCCAGAATCTTAAGGAAGAAAATGACTCCTTGAAAATTAGAATTGGACAAGGAGAAGTCAGCAAAGTTATAAGAGACCAAGAAATAATAAAACAAAATAGAAAGAATGAAAAAAATGGAAGAGAATGTGAAATATCTCATAAGAAAAAGAGTTGATCAAGAAGAGAAAACATAAGAATAATTGAACTTCCTGAAAGCTATGATCAAAAAAAGAATCTTGATAAAACAATACAGGAAATAATTAAAGAAAATTGTCCTGAAGCATTAGAACAAGAAAGGAAAGGGGCAGCTAGGTGGCACAGTGGATAGAGCACCAGCCCTGAAGTCAGGAGGACCTGAGTTCAAGTCTGGCCTCAGACCAAACACTTGACACTATCTGTGTGACCCTGGACAAGTCACTTAACTCCAATTGCCAAAAAAAAAAAAAAAAGAACAAGAGGGGAAAGTAGAAATAGAAAAAATCCAGGAAAAGATCTCACAAGGAAAACCTACAGGAATATCATAGTCAAATTCCCAAACCCCCAGCTCAAGGAGAAAATATTACAAATAACAACAACAACAACAAAAATTCAAATATACCAGAGCCACAGTTAGAATCACATAAGATATAGCAGCAGTGACACTAAAAGACCTCAGGTCTTGGAACACTATATATTGAAGAGCAAAAGACCTGGGGTCGCAGCAGACAATATCACACCCAACCGAATTAAGCATCATCCTGAATGAAAAATAAAAAGAAAGAAAATTCAATGAATTGCCAGACTTTCAGGATTTTGTTGCAAAAACAAACCCTGAACTCACTAGAAAATCTGACATACAAGATCTTTTTTTTGG